AACTTTTTTCTCAGTGTTCCGATTACGGCAGTGCCGGTGATAGAGCAAGCTGCGATTTTTTGTTAAATACTAATGTTATGGTATATTTGGCAACCCGGTATTACTGACAGCTTGAATGTTTGGGTTTGCAATCGCAAGAATAACATCGGTCTAGCGACAACCAAGGAGAAATGCTGGCGAGATGGACCGTGAGCGGTCTCAGTCGTCCAACAGGACACAACAAAGAAAAAAAGCCGGTGAGCAACCGGAAGTGTCCCCGCTCCGAAAATGTTGAATATTGCACTCAAACTGGAAGGAACAAGAGTTTTCCCATGATGATTCGCTGCAGAAGGTGGATTGCATTCTGACGGCAGTCGGCGTAGACGAGGGAAACATCTACAGCAAATGCACCTCGCTGCAGACCTGGCTGCTGGGATACGAGCTTACCGATACGATTACGGTCCATATTTTTCCTCACCAGCAAGAAGAAGATCGACTTCTTGAAGCAGATCGAGCAGGACGGTGAGGAGGGCAATCCGTCGGTGAAGCTGTTGGTACGCAATAAGAACGACAAAGACAAGACCAATTTTGAAAAGCTGCTGGAGGCGACCAAGGGATCCAAGGATGGCAAAACGTTGGACGTCTTCTCAAATGACAACTTTCCAGGTGATTTCTGTGAATCGTGGTGACCCTTCGTCAAGGATAAGAGCTTCGACCCGGTAGACATCAGCGTCCCAATAGGGTTCAACATGTGCTCCAAGAATGACTCCGCAGTTATCACCATCAAGAAGGCCTGCCTGGTGACGGTAGACGTATTCAACAAGTACCTCAAGGATCACATCATGGAGATTATCGATGCTGTAAAGAAAGTAAAACATGTCAAACTCTCGGAGGGTGTCGAGCAGTGTTGATATCGAACTAGTTGGACATGTGCTACCCAGTCGGGTGGCAATAACAGCTTGAAGTTCAGTGCATTCAGCGACAAGAACTATCTGCACTTCGGATCGATCATCCGTGCTCTGGGTGCGCGTTACAAGTCCTACTGCTCCAAATGTCGTCCGAACGTTGCTGGTCAATCCGATGGAAACGATTCAAAATCTGTACACCTTTTCTGCTCAATCTGGAAGATTGATGGTGATGATTCCGGGTAAGAAACTCTCGTTGGTTTTCGACGTCGGAATGGATTATGCCAAGAAGGAGGATGCCAAGCTAAAACGTTCGACTTTACCATCGGGTTAGAGTTCCGGGAGAATTCGATCGTAGTACCTCAGCCAGTGAAATTCGGTTTAAACATTGTAAGTTAATTAAGTTGAGTGAAAGCAATAAAAATTCCGTGTGATTGTGCCGTGAAAAGTAGTTCGGTATTGTTTGAAACTTTCTTGAACAATGTCTTACCGAACTACTTTTCACGGCACAATTTGCATTGCTTTCGCCTCAACCTAATTAACTCACAATTTTTTGTTTTGTTGCAAAAATAGAAGATTATTCTTGCATTCCGGTTCGTAGTACACTCCATTTGCATAGTAGCTGAAAGACTTGTGACCGGTATCGATAGTAATCGACAGCCCTCGGAAGTGATTCGGGCAGTGAATTGCTGTTCTGAGTTCCTCTAGTATATTCAATTAGAGTGAAATACACAGTCAACCAGCACGTAATGTTTTGAATAACTTCATTGACAGCTGTCCAGCAGTGCTCCCATTTTATTTAATGAACAATCCAATGCCTACGAGATTGTGCCGATGGATGTGCCCAAGCTGCGCTAAATCTACTTTCGGCACACTGTGTTGAGTGACTTGTCCCTTTTATCGACCCCTGGACCCTTTGTGGATTTAATACTCACCAAACTATTCCGGGTGGAGTCTCAGATAGCTTAGTCAGTTAAAGGTACGTTATTAATAAGCCGGAGGCTGCAGGCTTGATTGTTGGTCCTGTCGATGAAATCTTTCGAGTAGAAAGTCGACAAATCGCTCGCAAAACAAGCGTAAAAATCCTAGAGGAAGAAAACTATACCGGCTAAGGCCAGTTTGTCCTTTGTTGTTCATAAAAGTCGTCTCGCTTCCACTCAATCCATGACTACATGTCGCCAGCCTGCTGTCTGCGGATGTTGTGTAGGTCACTTGTCCTCAACATGTCGCTGTATGAAGGGCCAAGAACGGATTGGGTGGATCGATAGGCAAAGTCGCCTATACGCATCTACGGGACCGTAAAGAAGCAACATGATCGCACAATTGGTCAAAACGACGAGCCCCTAAACAGGAAGTTGCTCCAATGAGTGGGGAGAAGAGCCCGCCCTTTATCCACGAAATGTTAGGTAGCGAGTTGGCATTCCCACTCTCTTCGTCCAAATTGATTCAATCGGGTGTCCTGTTGCAACCTGGTCTATACAAGGTGTGGAGATCTAGCCCTCACGTATGTGTTGGTAGAGGGAAAAAAGTAAACATTGCTGGAGAGGATGACCACGACGTCATAGCAGTCGAAAGCAAATTTGTGAAATATGAGGTACAGCAAATTCTAGATATGTTTGCTTTATGATTGCTCTTGCTTGTATGCTTCTGTAAAGTATCCGGGAAATATCAGCAGCCGTTTTGTATTTTTATAGTAGCTACTTACTTGAAAACGGGCAAAAACTGACCAGGAGGCTGCTTTTTCCTGGTATACAGTGTGCTAATAAAATAATCAATACATTATCTCAACATTCAGTGGAAAAAAAATCATAAATGTTGGCTTCATACAGAAATTCTATAATTCATATTCAATTTCCAATGCAAACGCTTATTGAAACAAACGTTATGACGTAACTACGAGCGTGTTTGAGCGTACGGAAGAAGCAAATCGTGCGAAGCCGACTGAAAGCCGAGTGAAAAACGAACTGCACCAATACGCACAGGCCATCAATTCCACACCTTGTATAGACCAGGTTGGTCCTGTTGGACCCTCGCTTATCAGTTGTATATGTATGTAAATGTATAGTTAGGGGAAATGGATGTAATGTCGGTCTAAATGCCCCTAATTTGGGCCCATACATAAGTTCAGCAATCGACTAAATTTTCAATAGCGACCAAAAATATCCATTAGTACCGTCCCAATGACGCGTTCATCTAGATAAAATTGATAAATAGCAGCTTTTTAGCGATGGTCCCAATCTTAGATCCATAGACCAACATTAGAGCCATTTCCCCTATTTGGTTTTGATACAGTTGAATCCTGATGAATGTGGGCGTCTTAGTGGAATACCTGTATAATGAGAGAGAGAGAAGGATTAGTATTTTCCATTTAATTCCACCACTTTATTTGCTTATCCTTGACAGATACGCGTATTTCGTCTACAATGTGCAGACTTCTTCAGTGTCTTGTACTAATACTCGACTGTATTAGTACAAGACACTGAAGAAGTCTGCACATTTTAGACGAAATACGCGTATCTGTCAAGGATAAGCAAATAAGGTAGTGGAATTAAATTGAAAATACTAATCCTTCTCTCTCTCATTATTTGATACAGTTGTTATTCTTGTCTTACTCGCAAGGATCCGACTCTAAAGGGTAACCCAAATTAGATCCGATTGCGTTGCGTTGACGTAAATTTGACTGTCAAACAATAGATTTAGCTGTCACTTTGTCGCAACGCGTCAGATCCGGATCTAATGTTAGTGGCCCTAAATTGAAAGGTCCCGCTCTTTAATACCGGTGTGAAACCGGTGTAGTGTAAGCAGCAATAAACGCGAGTCATTGACAGCTCTTTATTTGTAAACAAAGGTGCAACCGATTGCTACACCCTGATTTGTTTTTTGTGTACGGCGTACAACGAAAACGACATTAGTTTGAAGCTAAAAGGGAGGGACACAACTGGCTTCTTTTTTGTCTGTGACGTGTTCTTCTTCTCTCGCGGAAACGACCGTACAAAAAATATCTCATTATGGGCGACGCAGTCGACTGTCAAAATACAAGAAAATAGATTCCCTGATTCTCGCGTTTCTATACGTTCGCCCGACCAATCAGGCGCTGGTTTTGCGTTTGACAGAACATTGGTTCATAAAAGGCCCCCTATTGTCCTATTGTCTCCTCTTCCTCTTAGGTTTGAAGTAGTTCGAATTAGGCTTCGATTGCTTCGATGGTAGATCTTAATGCCAATAACGGATAATAATGGAAAGGTAATCTACCAGGCGTTACTGGGCTCACTATGCATTATTCTATGCCCAATGCTTTACCAGCAACGTTTACCGAACGTATTCTATGGTTTTACCCTCCCCACTAAACCTCCAAACTCCTGTGACACTTATTAGAGGTCGTAGAGTTCTCTGCATCTCTCTTAAGTGAGTGTCCAACTAACATTCCTCCCCATCCTCAGCAGTTGCAAGGACGTGGCCAGGACAGTTCTCGATTGATGAAGTTATTGCTGCTTCCATCTAAGAGGCCGATCCCCAAATCTCATTCAATACAGTAGTAGTCTTAATCTATCTATATATATATATATATATATATATATATATATATATATTATATAAATGAATTTCTGTCTGTCTGTCTGACCCTGTCAGAAACTACAGAACCGATCGGCGTGAAAATTTATATGCAGGGGTTTTTGGGGCAGGGAAAGGTTCTTATGATAGTTTGATACCCCTCCCCCCCCCCCTCTTTAAGGGGCTCCCATACAAATGAAACAGAAATTTTCGCATAACTCGACAACTAATCAAGCAAATGGAACCAAACAAGTGGTGGTCATAGGGGGTAGTCCCTTAGATAAGAGGGGGACTACGTACAATATAGCATGTTTTTTTTAATTGGCGCATAAACTCAAGCTAATATTGAATCCCGAGCAAGGTCGGGCACACTCAGCTAGTATAAAATATAAAACGATGGTCTAGAGGACTTGTACCACCAATGAATTTGTGCAACATGCTTAAAACGAATGCAAATACCTAGTTATCTTCTAGAGCCGTCACTCACCTTTCGTGCTGCTTTTCTTCTTGCGGTCATTCAAATTTCACATCAAATAACAACCGTTTCTTTCCTTTTTCTTGCAGAACTCTAAGTACACCTCCTCCAAGAGGGACTACGAACGAGAGGCTAGCCGATCGGGGGGCTATGGACGCGATCGGGATAATTCTCCGGCAGGAAGCTCGCTAAATAATGGTAAATTTATAAAACCTACCTTACTAAAAGACCATGCTTGGTTAACAAAAATGTGTCTGCATTTCCATTCAGGCAATTACAAATCAATCTCACCAGACTTGGACTCACCGAGGGATCGCGATCGTGATCGAAACCGCGATCACGATCGAGACAGGGATCGCGATCGAGGCAGCGACCGGTATCAATACGGAATGAGTAAGATGCGAGATAAGGACCGGGATCGCGATTATAAGAAGGACAAATATTCAGGTACTCGTTGGTAGTTCATGAATGACTGTTTTGCTGCAGAGGTATACAACATATAACTTCAATTACAGATTCCCTACGATCACCGAAGGAAAAACGAAGTCGCAGCGATCGGGATACAGACCATCGATCGAATCACGACCGGCGGTTAAAGTTGTCCGTATCGGAGAAGCGCGGTGGCTCGAGCTCGAATTCGGACGATCGCGAACGGGACCGGGAACGGGAGCGTAGCGAGCGTGAACGCGAACGGGAACGGGACCGTGATCGATTACGAGATCGCGATCGCGATCGTGGTGGTGGCGGCGGTGGCGGCGGCGGAGGCGGTGGTGGTGGAGGCGGAGGGGGTGGTGGAAGCGGAAGTGGAGGTAGTGGCGGCGGTGTAGGTGGCAGTGGTGGTGGCATAGGTGGCGATCGGGTTAGTCGCATTGGTGATTGGAGTGAACATGTCAGTTCATCTGGGAAAAAGTATTACTACAACTGTAAAACGGAGGTGTCCCAGTGGGAGAAACCGCGGGAATGGATCGATAAAGAAAGGTACGAGCGTTTTTTTGTTCTATACAGAAGCCAATGACTAACCGGTGTGGGCTAATTGTTTCAGAATCATGTCCAAGGACCAACATAGAGAGTATCGAGACAAAGATCGCGATCGGGACCGGGACCGAAATGATCGCGATCGTGATGATCGGTACTCGTCCTCTGCCGGCAGCCGGTCAACGTCGTATGGCAAGCATTCCAGCAGTAAAAGCAGTAATTCGAGGATAAGGTGGCCAGCACACGAGTTGCACAGGCGGAGGCATGATGGTAAGAATGGTCACACACGGTAGAATATTATGTTGTTACCAGTTTGTTTCTTTTTTTTTTAGAAAACCAAGACATGGACATCAGCCCCGGCGATTCAACGCCAACATCGGAGGCAAACTATTCCCACTCGAGTACTCCAACCAACCAACAGGGACACGGCATTAACAGTAATAATGCGGCCAATAACGATGGCAACAATGCCGGGACGGGACTGATGGCAAATCAGCTGCCCCGCTTGTTATCGAACCCTATGTCAACGCAAAGTGGTATTGCTATGCCACCCCATTCACAATCACAATCCTCATCCAGCTATTCGGCAACGGTGTCCACTTCATCTCCATCCGTACTGCAACAGCAACAACAGCAGCAACAGCAACCGCACATGCTTGTTGGTCCCAGTGGCGACCCTATGCTGAGCTCGAATACTCCTGGTCCGCCAGGATCACAGCAGCATCATCATCATCATCATCATCAACAGCAATGCCAACAGCAGCTACAGCAACATCAACAACAGCAGCAGCAGCAACAGCTAGGCCAGTCACCACATTCATCTGCAAATGCATCTGCCACTAGCTCGAACGTGTCGTCGTCGTTAGCCGGGCTGCCGAAAATCCTTTCACAAATCACCGGCAACAAGACGATAGAACACAACGAACTGAACCCGCAGAAGGCTCTGCAGACCATCAACAATGCACTGATGATGCAGTCGAGGCAAAATCCGAACGGACCTGCGTCCGGATCGTCGATGGTGGATGGCAGCGGGGGAGCGAATAGTTTAAGGTAGGTGGATTATTTTGGATTTGGATGTTGCTATTTCCTTGGAAGTGTTGGGTCACATTTCTGAAAGCGAGATTTCAGATACATTCCATCCAAGGTGCAATTCGCAAGTGATCAATTGTTGCTTAAAGTCACCGCATATCATTCTGCTCCATGCTTTCTTACGCCAGTACTGGCTGTACCTGCTACCAAAAACAAGTCAGTTGTATTTCTGCCGTGAATGCGAATTTAATTCGTTGTTAGGAGTCGAACTCTTTAAAAAAAATGACTAGACATCATCAAGTACTTCGTTTCACGATTCTATAACATTCCCCAGAATGTAGCATTCCCCAGAAAAGTATGACATGTATTAGATTGACTATTTTTGTTTATTATAGTCACTCTAGAGAAAAACTTCTTAATGGATCAAGGGGTTTTCCCTTCTTTGAAAATATAAGAAAAGAAAATAATTAATTCTTTGGATATACGATAAAGAAGGGAATATTCCCTTCTTTGAATATATGAAGAGAACATCATTAATTCGTTAAATGTATGATAAAGAAGGGAATATTATCTTCTTTAAAAATATAACAAAAGGAAATAATTAATTCTTTGGATAAACGATAAAGAAGGGAATATTCCCTTCTTTTAATATATAAGGAAAATATATAATCAATAGTTTTTCGCAAGGGATTCGGGGTAATGCCCATTCGGGATAATAACGTGTGGAATAATGTTATAAATTTGTAATCGGTCGTTCAACGTTCCATGCACCGATTTTTTAATCCATCACGAGAAATTCTTCAACTCAGATCGAACAATTCTTCGATAAGGTTTAACAGTTTCCGACTGGTTGAATTGGATTGCATAATATACCCTTTGACTTTTTAAATGATGTACGAAGTGCTCGAAAACTTGAAGGTTGTTGAAGGTTTCTAAAGAGCTATAAAATGGTTTGGAATTGATAAATACATAGTTCCATAAAACTAAACGTAGTGTATCGTCAATAGTAAAGTGAAACTAATCAGAGTTTTATCATGAAAAATATATTAAATCAGATATGTAAAATTTATCAAGAAAATTGGTATTCAGAAGATGTATTACAGGTATACCTCGATAAAACGTAACTGTCACTTTTGACTTTCATCGGCAATATCTTGCTAAAAACAATTGAAACATATACATTATTATTACCAATAGATTGGAGATTATCTCATCTGTCCGATGTTGTTCTTACTTTGCTTGTTAGAATGATCGTTTGCTAGAAATCGGCGGTCAATAGTGACAGTTACGTTATATCGAGGTATACCTGTATTCAGTGTACAAGATACTTGCGGACCTGTTTATTTATGGACGCCTGTTCTGTAATATAGAACTGAAATATAATATCAAATGACAAAAAAAAAAGTGATAAATTACTAATTTCATCATCTTTTCTGGGGAATGTTATAGAACCCATTTCACAGTTTCCCTGATAAAACATACCAAGTCTCTTCCGGGAAAGGTTTAAAGTAAATTCAAACAATGATGTTAAACTTCCACAAAAGTTACACGCTTATCGAAAGTAACTCAGAGACTGAGTCAGGTTGACTCACTCTCTTTTCTTCCCATAAAAATTTTACTCACTTTCGTAAAACAGTTGAGTTACTCAGTGCTATGAGTATTGGAGATGAACTAGCCAGTTGGCTCAGAATCTCCTTAATAAAACTTATGACCATACTTGAATGTATTGTTTTCTTACTATAGTTGATAAGGTTAACATCATTGGGGCTTCATCCAGCCTGTTGAAGTAAAACAAAAATAGAACTGGAAACTCGCTGGAAAGCGAGAATGGACGGTAACCGCACCTCGATAGGATCTTGCTGGCTTGATGTCCTCCGGCTTTGGTACTGAAAAGATATCTTCGGTACAGTTTTAGCTGAACTTGGCTTGTCTGGTAGATGTCCTACTTGTTGTTGCTCATTAGACTGCGAAATTAGCTTCGACCCTGAGTGGATTTCAGTTGACATTGGGGCCGTCTTGAATACCGGACGTGTTCCGACCTAAACGCCGGATGGGTTCCGGTGGAAATCGGCAAAGGTTTGACCATCGGACGGGTTCCAGCTGACATCGGGAACGACTTGAACTTCGGACGTGTTCCGGTGAACATCAGGAAAAGTTTCTACACCTGACGAATTCTGGATGACATCGTCAACGGATCGATCACTGGACATATTCCAGCCAACTCAGGGCTGGTAGCAGGTCACTTTTTAGTGACTTGGTCACTATTTTGAAGCCAGTCACTAAAAAGTCACTTTTTACACCAAAAAGTCACTAAAGTCACTATTTCCCTAAAAATAGTCACTAAAGTCACTTTTTCACTACTAAAATACAGTGAAATTTAAAAATATCAACAAAATGTTTAAATTGGGTAATTGGCACTAAGAAAGTGTACAGTAGTTTTAGCAAAATATACATATATGTTAAAAATTGAAAATTTTGACCAGGGTCACCAGTGAACCGCAAAGTTTAGAACACCAGAAAAACTATTGGAAAATGTCTTTAATTTTGATTAAAAATCGGGGAAAATATACCTCCTTTCCCAGAAAATAAATTGTAAGCCTTGGAAACTTTCTAAAGGTATTCGTCTGTGATAGATTTTCAAAAGTCTTTCAAGGATGATTAAGACCTAAGTAAATTTAAGAGAATTTTAAAGGATTCTAGGGATGACACCAAGATATATCAGAGAAGAATAACAAAGTACAAAGTAAGAAAGTCTCATGTAAAATTAAGTGCTCTGATGACCGGTTTCTTTATCTCCGCTTAAATTTTAAGCCAGGTTTACCCACATAGTTAAACTTGGTGTAACACATATGAGCGTAGCTTTTGATTATTGTTTAAATTATTAGAGACGTAAAATTCAGCTCCGAAACAATTGTGGAAATAATTCAAATATAATTGAGAGTGAATTTTAACGAGAGTTCTGAGAAGAATGATTGGATGAGGATTCTAGGTCCAAATCTACTAACAATTCAAAATTAGTTCTGAAATTTGGCTTAAGGGAGCTCTAATGAAAATTGCATGAAAATCCCGTGAACTCCAAAGATGGTCTCTGCGGATAGTTCTAAAAGAATTCTAGGATGATTTCTGAAGATACTTCCAAGAGAATTCTTAAGAGTACGAAATAAATTCCGAGAAGATTTTCAAAGTTATTCTGTGATGGATTTTTGTTTTGAGAAATCTGAGGAAAAGGAAATTCTAATGAGAATACGAATTGAATTTCCAATCAAATGCAGGGGAAAAGTCCAAGATTATTCGAAGCAGAAATTTATGAAATTTCTGAGGTCAATTGGAAATTCTAAAGAGAATTCAAATAAATTTAAAATGGATTTATGGAAGGAGCCTTCAGGGAGTTCCTAGAAGAATCAATCAAACACGAAAATAATCTACTTTAAATAATCAGACATAAAGTGGAGATTTTATACGATAGACGAGGAGATTAAATTATGGAGTTGATAGTTCCGTTATAGTACGACAGTGTGAAAATTGTATATACAAATAGAGAGCGAGCAAAGGACAATTTTGTGGAAGGTACGAAACGGGTAGATGTTTACGCCAGAGACTTGAGTGTGAAACAACATCCCTTTTGCCAGTGGTGGCAGGGGGGAACTCCCCTCACCATCCCTCATTAACGGATGAGCTTGGTAAAGGAGATGCTCTACCCGATTCGTACCTTCCTCAAAATTGTCCTTTATTCACAAATTTCACACTGCCGTACTATAACGGAACCATCAACTCTTTACTTTCATCTCCTCATCTATCATATAAAATGTCCACTTTTATTCTGATATTTGATGTTAAGCCTTTCCAACTTCGAAAATAATCTATTTTCAAGAATTTTGTTGATTGTTCTGCGAAGAATTTCAAGAATACAATATTATTTTTGCAAAAGCTTATTTGCCTCTAAGTTTAAGAGAAGGGGAATTATCCTAAAAAAAATTCTTAAGATCATTCTGAAGAAATTCTGTGAAAAGAGCGAATTATCAAAGTTATCTGCCTAGATATAACAAAATTTTAAAAAATTCGAACGCAGAATTAAATTAAAGCTCATAAAAAAATGGGAATTTCTGTTTGCTAGTCATCATACAGATGTAAATTATTCAAATCACTTCAAATGCTCTTCACAGGAGATTCCGTTGTGAGATTCGATTAAATTAAAGGAATTTATGAAATTTGATTTTAAGTTCCATGACATATCAAACTGTATTTGAATTTCTAAGTAACCATATAAATGGTTCCTTATTTAGTATTTACAAGTCACTATTTGGTCACTATTTCCATAATTTTAGTCACTAAAGTCCCTACTATTATATCGGATCAGCACTACCAGCCCTGGCTAACGATTGTGCTACATTTCCCCGAATGTCGTTTCCCCGAATGTCACTTCCCCGAACGCCATTTCCCCGAATCCCAAACAAACATATACCCCATTTCCCCGAATGCCATTCCCCCGAATTACATTTCCCGAATGTAATTTCCTCGAATGAAATCCAAAAATTTATAAAATACTTTGACTGTATTACATTTCTATGGTTGGTTTCGCGAGCATTAAGAAGACATCTTTGAATATTGCAACAATTAACCTTAAAAGAACAGCTCATGATAAAAAAAAGGAAAATCTCTGTACCAGAAGTGGAAGTGTAAAAATTGGTAATATATTTTTAGGACATTTTCCCTTATTTTATACATGAGCAGTTCTTTCGAGAACTTTGGCAAAACTAATATCGATGATTTGACGGATTGGTAATAAATTTTTAGGAGATTTTCCCTTCTTTTTAAATTTATTTAGGAGATTTTCAGCCGTAGACATATTTTATCCTTCTTTTATAAATGTTTTTTCGAAAACTTTCTCAAAACTTGTGAGATTGACGTAATGTATTTTGAGGAAATTTTTCCCTCTTTTATAAACGAGCAGTCTTCCGGGAACTTAGACAATATGTGAGGTCGATGGATTTAAAATTGATAACATAGTTTTACGAGATTTT